CAAACATGTGTCAATTTTTAGTCACATCATTGTCTATTCGAAAATTATCGCTTACAATCTCATCGCTCGGATTAACACTTTGATCTTGATTAATCTCGGAGACAGGATCTTCAACGCTCGGGCTGGCCATTTGAATTTCTTCAACAATTGGATCAACTCTTTGATGGTGCTCAAAGATGAATTGAATTTCATTCTGCTCCCGCACAGCTAAGCGAGCCGGATTCAGTAAGCAATCTCAGTGTCTTCTACTCGAGTGCCCAGACTGATGGCATGAAGCACAGATTCGAATGCTCATTTAAAGTATATAAGCTGAAAACGAATGGTTGTAGGTAAACAAAAAAGAAGTACAGGGACTACTCAAAAGCGCGTAAAGACAGATTCAGGACGCGTGAACAGCACGATGGCAACTTCCTTTTTTGTGTGTTATACGTGTTGCAAGTTTGTCAGCATCAACACCCTGAACCCAATCAGCCACTACTACTACTACTACTACTACTACTAATCCTTTATGGTATGACAGTGAATGGTAGTAAAAAAATATGATCTACAGCAAAGATATAATTCGGTCATTGCTTCATCCATAAAATACATTGCCTCTCTTGGAGTATATACAGATATTTGATGCTTAATGAGGCTCTTTCTTATTTATCCCGGATTTCAGATCCCAGATGACCGTGTACTTGCTCAATTTTGCACAGATCTTTTCATCAGATAGGGGTGGAGTGAATGACATGTGGATTTATAGAAACTAAAGCACCGCTGTAGAGCCACCTTCCTTTTTTGGATTTTTCAGCTAACTTTTAAAGATTTTAATAGTATAGATATGCGAAAAATAAAAGCATTTAGTTTCATCAAATAATAACAGTTACTCTCGCATCCCCTTATTTCACCCCGGTTGAGTTTGAAAAAATTGGAGGGTGGGTGGCTGAGGTGGGAGGAAAGAGTGGGGTTCAATAGCAGCAGCAGGGAGGGAAAGAAGCAACAACTAAAGATTTTTTTTTCTCATCAACAACTACCATAGCGAATCAACAGCTGCGAACACACTTATATATGACTTTTTACTGTCTCCATGATGAATAGAAGAGAAAAAGAAAACAAAGCGGCACAATCCACAGATTTAACAAAAAACGGAATTATGGTAATTGTTTTTTTAAAAAAAAGCATGTACTCAAGATTCGTAAAGGTGTAGACCGCCGTTACTGTAAAAAAAATGATAGCCTTTCAAAGCTGCATAAGTGATCAAGGGAAGGAAAAGGTTGTCGGTTGTGTTTGGGATATAGCTTTGGTGGATACTTGCTCATTCAGAATTACTGATTCTTTCTCTTTTTTTTTCTGTATATACTTAATGCAACATCTTACACCATTCCAACGTCAAAATTACGTGTGTATTACAACATCGTCTTCTACTTGCACATTCAATTCGTACCCACAACAACAACGACGCAACAATCTTCTTCTCCCTTACTCAAACACAATCGTGTACAACATGACGCCGATTCACCATTGACTTGTAAAACATAAAACCTGACGCAATTACCTTCCACTATCATGTACGCTTATATTACATGATGACGACTATGACGCCGGTCTTTTGTTCTTATAATTGAACGCACACCACCCTGGAAAACTTATATTTAAAAATTATGCTCATATTCACAAAAATATTCACAAACTATTTGATGATTGACTTGGTTAAAAAAATATTCGTTTCTTATGAACACATATTCAGATATTATATTTAGAGAATGAAACATGCTTAAGTGAATGGTTTACAAGATAAAGCGCAAATTATAATCAAGCTTGGGATCTTCGTGATCTATCGACGATCTTGACCAAAAAACGTATTCTCGTTCGTTACGCGCCTTTGTCACTCCGGCAAAGCTGACTATGTCTTCAACATCCACGACCTTAAGCTTCGTTCCATTGATTTTACGTGGCCAAGAATCGTCGCTTCTTTCGGGGTTGGCAAATGTCGATAGCTGTACCAATGCGAGCAGCCTATTGTTATCATCCCCAAAACTATGGGTAAAAAAGTACTTTATATCACCGAAATATAGCTTTCGTTGGAATTCCATGTTTCGTCCCGGCCTTTGATCAATATTCACCCAAAGATGAAGGCGAACGAACGACGCATTGGCTCCACCGAATACATCACCACTGCTCTTCCAGAGCCTCCTGCCGGCCGTAACCTTTTCTGTTGTATCAATATAGATGTCATTGTAGGAGCCTTTTTCCCATGCCCAAAAACGTCGGAGAGGTTGTTTGCATCCAAGGTCTGCCACTGTCATCTCCTCGAATGGACCCCAAAGTTCCGGTGCCTCAGGATCATCAGATGCAGTAATGACTTCTTGCTGCTTTTCTTTGACTTCTTCCTTGTTGTTGATTCTTTGTTGGCGCCTGATAGCCGACAGTTCGATCAAAACATTACCGGCATTGGTACCAGCATCTCACTTTGAATAGATGCGACGCTTTATTTCGCCAATTGCTCTTTCCATGGCAAAAGCTACTAAAAATGGTAATGGCCCAAGTCGTTCGATCGTCTTGTAATGGTGCGCCAACAGATGCATGTTAATTGTATGCACATTTGGAGAGATATGACCGGACTTTGACTGTTCATAGAGCCACTTGGTCCAAGAGTTTGCCGCATGTTTCAGTTCACCGATTTGATCTACACCAATTACTCGACAGAATGTATACCGAAAAACGGCTGCCAAATCTGCCAGGGCTTGTCTTGTACTAGCATCATCATAGAAATCCCGGATCGTAGTAGAAAACAAATACAAGCCAACATGAATCCAGTCAATTGCACGGTAGAAACCACTTTGAAATGCAATGTCGCCACAATCTGCACTAAACGACGATGGGGTAGACGCTTTTGATGCATCAATTAACTTGCCGATCTCGTTCCGTGTGGCTCGTGGTAAGTACAATGGATTTCCTTCTTGCCCGTATTTTCCACAGATTATCTGCCATACTTGTTTGGCTACACCTGCCATATTGTGCATAGGATCCACGGGAAAATAGGTGGCACCATGAAAAACTGGGAGTTTTGAAAATGGCGTGGCTTTCTTGTGTCCTTTTGCATCATTGATTGCTTTCTTTGAAGGGTTTGGGGCTCTTTTTTGCTTGAATGATTGGATCGACCGTACAGTAGGCTTTTCGTCTGCTTCTTTTAGTGCTGCTTCTTGGGTGGATGTGGATACTAATTTTTCATACGGCGGAAATATCATGGTGTTGTTGATGTATTTGCCTCCGAGTGTACAAAATCTGCAGCCGTAGTAATGGTGATGAGAAGACATACACGCCATACGGGTTGATGCCGGGTAGTCGCCTCTAACGAAAAGAAGGTGTGCCTTGACGTTAATAGTAGCCTGATCCACGGTTACATCCATGCCATGATTGCAGAGTTCATGAAGCTCTTATATGGTTGGCTCTAAGAAGCTGAAAAGATCAACTGGTTTTGCTGGACCGGGGCAGATGCAAACTTGAAGCATGTATTTGTCTTGAGTTCGGACACTTGGTGGAAAATTATATACGATGACATGCACAATGGTCATGGAATGCTGTGAGCGACGAAATGGGCTGAAGTCGTCAGTAGAAATCGTAATCCCCAGATCCATTTCACCAGTAAAGAAGGTAGGCTTTAGAATTTTATAAACGGCACTGTCCCAAAAATCCTTCATCAAGCCTTCCTCGGATACATATTCAGCGCGATACTTGAGCAGTTCGCGGGTGGCTTCATCCCGGATTAACAGCCGAAGCTGTTCTTTCAACGATAACTGGATCATCGTCTTGCGTGCTGGTTTTCCGTCAGCTTTGAACCGTGGGGTATGGCATGCTGAACATGACGTGCTTCTATCGCTCTTGGTGTACATCTTACAACCATTCTCGCATACATCATACTCAGACGGCTCAAGTGGATAGCTTTTGCGTAAGACAGCACGTGCTGAATGGTAGCTGAGAAGCGGTGGGAGGACGCCCTTGATATACTTGTTGGTTCGTTTTATAAACTTGTCAAATAGTGCCCGTGCTCCTCCATGTCGAACATGAAAACCAAACATGTCAATGCTTGCTTCTACGTTTTCTTCTTGATCGAGTTCAGCGTCGTTGCTGTTGAATCGTTGATTAAAGCGACTTTGCTACTACTTGTACTTTCATAATGATTTTGAGGAGGCGTATTGATACTGAAAACTGATTGGAACCGACGTCTGACGCTGCTGAAGTGAGCGTGCTATTTTACTGCCGCCTCTTTGACTTGAGGTGCTGGCGGTTGTTGTTTCGAGGCTGCTTACACGGGATAGCGGCTCAGGTACCGAAACATTGTCATCCGAAAATTTGTGCGCTCGTCTGGCAGCTTGTGTTTGCTCTTCATGCAAAGAATTGCTGGTGGATGGTTGACTACTACTTCCTAGAGGCTGAAAGCAGAGTTAATAGGTGTCTTACCGATAGTAAAACAAATTACCTGGCTTTCAATCAAAGCAGTAAATTCATGCTCCACTTTTTTAATCGTCTTTTGAATACAAATTGTGCGATGAGCATTGTGATCGGCAGCGGTAGCCTTTCTTTCGATGCCGCAAAATGGACATTTGAAGTTGGACTCTCTTGCTATTGCTGCTTTTTGGGGATTTTTGCTCATGACTCTGAGGCTAGTGAGAAAGTGAATTCAAAATAAAAACTTTTTTTTCCAAGCACACAATGCATGAAACACTTAGGTACCGACCCGTCATTACACCGACAACCATAAACCTAACTCGCGACAGTTAAGGGTTCCTTACATGTACTTTTCACTTTGACACAGCCGTTAAAAGCAGAAATATCTCTTTTTCTCCTACTCCCATGAAATGGCGAGTCTAGCAGCAGAAAGTGACGAAATACCTACAGGTGTGCTAGGTCTAATTTCGAGCTTTTTGAACACGGCCAGGGATATCAAACGGCGACTGAATGAAGGTTTCCTTGGAATGTAAACCGAGATCACAGAGCTTCAGGGAACACTAGCAACCATGAGCAATAGAATTGCCGATCTCGAGCAAACCGTCGAGCATCTGAATCTTGGCGCTGCCTCTGCACAGCTTCCAACATACCCGCAAAGCACGGCTATTGGTATGGAAGCTAGTCCATTTAACGGTATCTAGTTGCGCTGTGTCGTGTTGCATCCAGCAGATAACGACGGAAGATTGAGGCAGTTCTCGTGGGAGCTATACGACATCCTTGGACAGCACGTTTTGGGCAATAATACATGGGACCACTTGTATCTTACCACATTTTAGCGGAATGTCATGCCTTTTGCTGACGGGCTGGTCGATTATATGCGACAAACGGAAAACGTAGCAGTAACAGCGACATGGTCTGACTTGACGGACACCTAGCAGCGCAAGGCGATTGCATTGCTCGAGGATGGTGTAGTCAACGAATACCCATTGAAAGCCTGTGCTGGATACTGGGGCGCATGGCTCATCCTTGTCAGAGCTTTTTTTAAGAAGAAGATCCCTAGCCAAGCAGGAGGTACGGAATAAGCTACTTTTTATGTATTCGTGTCCACACTTATGTTGTGTCTTGTACATACAGTAGGTCCAACAACACCAATACCTCTAGAGAAAACAAGTATACACAGAAGTTTGCTGGAAAACTTAGAGCAATGCAATGTTTGTCTGGAGCCCGAGCTCCTTAATCAGCAGCTGACCCAAGGGTATTGATGATGCTTATACTTGTATAGATGCAATTGTAACTTTTGATAACACCTTTTTTTTTGTTAAAGCTCAATTGATCAGCAAAGCATCACGGAAGAAGATGAGCAGACCTGCCAAGCAAATGAAGAAGAAATCGATGATCAAAGCAGCACTAGTGACGATGATGAAGAAAATTTCTTTAACGCTGACCATAACACTCAGGAAGATTGTGATCACGAAAGGTATGAAACCATGTAAGATATGATACATGTGATCGACTGCAATCGACTATAATTATTAATATGGATTTCCTGTATTGCATCATTACCTATCATAAGTGATATTGATGAAGACGAAGGCCCACTGTCTCTGGAGGCACAACTGACATCAAGCGAGGAGGACGAACAGGTCACACACCTGCCAACTACCAGTGGCAAAAAAGCAAGAACGAAAGGAAAGTCGCCAGCACAGAAGCAGCCAGCGCGGCGAATAAAGCAGCTTGTCAACAAAGCAAGCATCCCCAGAAAACAAGGTAAAGGTACAAGAAGTTGCTATCCTTACATTATAATATAATGCATAAAAGTTAAAAGAAATTCATATCACTACCCATTCTGTAGAACGCTCTCCCGTCATTTCAGAAAAACAGGAGCGCCTTAAAAGAAATGTTCGTACAAAAAGCCCAACCCCGGTCGATCCAGTCCCCACAAAACGTACTCGCGTCATGCGTACAGTTGCGTCAAAAATATGAGCACATAATTAATAGTCTTGCAATATCCATGTTGCCCCATCCAACCCATTAAAAGCTCACTAATAAAGTAATTTTGTTCTATCTCCCATTCAAACATCGAGCGTAAAAAACCAATATATTATCGCTTTTATGATCCATGCATATGAATAATATTTGAAAGCTATTCAATGAGATCTTATATCTACAGCCGTAAATATTCTACATTATTTCAAATGTTTAAAAAGTATTTAAAAGTGTTCAGAATCCATATGCGAAAAATATTTGAAAAATGTTCTATACAGCTGCAAAATGAATATGTGTATACTTGCATATTTTCTAAATCTTTATTGAATATATTTTTACGAGGGTGCACGCACGTCAAAATCATCTTAATGACGGGCATCTCTTTCTTTGCTGTATGTACATGCATTAATGCGATGGTAGTTATATTACTATGATGACACACCACCACAGCAATAATCCTCCTCGGCAATTTGCTGTACTTGCACAGACACAGTGACAAGGACGATTACCTTTTTCCTTTTGCATATGCTAATACAGACGTCGCTGGTCTTGCTGGATAAGGTAGTTATATATGATGATGGATGGAATGTGGGGCTTTATTATTGTCACTGTAGATGTTATGGTTGGGATAAAAAAATAAAAGTAAAAGATCATACCTTATGTCGCCATTATGTTTCAGTTGTCTGCATAAACAGGTGTGAGATGGGATTGCTAGTTATTACAAGTGCTTCTATAAAAACTATAGATATGGTTTTGAGCGGTGATGATAATATGGCACGGACAAAGAAGAAAAGGCGTTTGTTGTTTTGAAGGAGGAAGAAGTTTGTTTGCTATTACAACAGCAACTTTATTTTTTCATTGAAAACCAACAACTATGAACAACCAACACATTACTACCCTTGACAACATTCGTTATGCTCTCTCGTACTCGACTGTACCTGGCGTACTTGCACTCGTTCCCAACGAAGTCGTGCGCGTTCCTGCTGCTCAATGGCAAATCTTCAAGGATCGCATCTCGGAATTGTGTGGCTACAAATGGGTCCCAAACGCAAGACTGTGAATGGCACCAGAGTCCTTTATAGCGAGACTTTCTATTGTCATCGTTTCAGCAGCTATACCCCAAAGCGTAATATACGACTTGCCCAGAAGGATAGTAAGAAGTGTGGCTGTACTAGCAAGTTGAAGGTCACCATTTGGCGCGCTCTTTTAACCACGTGTGAGATCGAAATGGCAAGTCCTCACGTCAATCACGTTCCTGGAGATCGTGATGACGTGCACACTTTTCCGTTGACATCCTTGACAGTCGACAGCATCACCCAGCAGCTGTAGGACGGAAGAAATTGCAGGGATATCTGTATGTCCATCTTGCGACAACTGGACACTGTGGACGAGGCACGAAACAATGCTGGTGCGAGCTCGTCAACACAGCAAGGACCCCAAGTTGTGTACAGTACTGGGCAACGACGTGTGAATTGTGAGGATGTATATAACATGATGTTGAAGGTATGTCAACAGATTGATGTACTTTTAAACACATCAATCTAGTAATCTTACATTACTAAAACATTTTAATATAGTTGAAAACCGACCTTTACCAGTTCAACCCAAATGATATGCTGTCAGCAAAAGTCTGGCTGGATCAACGCCTTGCCAGTGAGAACTATATTATATACAATGGCAATACATCCGAATACACCACCTCCATCGACACTTACTCTTTCGGGTTCCTATCCCAAATGCAGCTTGCCCAGCTCCAAAACTCAACGTCCGTTTGCATGGATGCTACCCATAGCATCACAAGTCGTCTTGCTGATATTATGTATACCATTGTAACACGCGATCCTCACACAGGAACTGGCTATCCCATTGCATATATGTTCACGAACGATCACTCTGGCGGTCCAATCACTCAATGGTTACAATTTCTTCACAATACCTGTGGTATAGTGATTGAGATGATGACCATTGATTGCAGCATTCCCGAAGTTAATGCCATCCAATCCCAATTCCCCTCGGCAGCCATCCATTACTGCGCGTTTCATGTCATCCAAGCATGGAACCGCAACCTGAAATCCAAAGTTCGCTTGGATGCATCGAAGACAGCCGATGACCTAAAGGAGTATCGTAACGAAATGATGACTGCATTGAAAGCAATGCTGCACGAACAGGATATCAATGATCTGTACCATGCCATCCAGGAATTTTAGGAGAAGTACTATGAGCAAGAGGAATTCCAGGATTATTTGGAACGGCATTATTTGCACGAGAACATCATCCAGCGTTGTTCAACGGCGTACGTCCATCCCAACAACAGATTTATGACGACCAACAACTTTATCGAATCATGGCATAACTAGCTAAAAATGGTCTATCTCAAGCACATCCGCAACAAACGACTTGACCGCTTATTTTTTGTTCTTACGCACGAAGTCGAGTTTTACTTTAAATGCGAACGCGAACGAGTCTTGGGCAACAACGGTTGTATGGGTCCTGTCGAAAATCAACTATCACTGCGCCGATATACTGCATCTCTAGTACCTGTTGATGCTATTGCAACAATGATCCGCAATCCTGAGGGGGAACATATCAGTACTCCAATGATGGGCACTCGGGAAGTGAACTCATTTCAGTCTCAATCAACCGAGGTATACAAGATAGCTGTCAATGCTGATAAGCTTATTTTATCTTGTACCTGTGAAGATTTTATGCATAGACAAGCTCCTTGCAAGCACTTGTATTTGTTGAAGCGATTCACAGATATGATGCTTGGTTTTGAAACAGAGCAGACTAGAGCACTTGAGCTGATTCCGCATACGATTCCTAATCAGCAAGGTGAGTTGCAAATTGCTGAAGCTGTTGAGAACGTAGCTGTTGAAGAAACAGTAGATATTGTTGACGACCTTCGCGACAATCTGCAATATATTGCCCAAACCTTAACATCAATGCATCATGACCGAAACAGCATATTGCAGCTCTCTACAATACCACCAGAAGTGGCTGAACAATATGCACAGCGTTTAAGGGAATTAGCTCTTTTCCATGAAGACATCATGAGACAGTACAATCACACCAGACGCTCTGCTACGCAACGTCAATAATTACAATGTCCACGCATCCCCATACAACAACATCCTTCGCACTTAAATAACACTTATAGAACCTCTTTTTTTGTCTTCCTTGTATATCTGTCATCGCTCTTTATTTTTAATTAATCCACGTTTACAAATACGAGAAAAACTGATCAGTTGTCCTTCCTGCTATCTTTAGCCCCTTCGTCCATTAAGACCGGCGATGTTTGTGTGGTAATTACATCAGGTTGTATGTTTTACAAGTCAATGGCGAATCGGCGTCATGTTGTACACGATTGTGTTTGAGTAAGGGAGAAGAAGATTGTTGCGTCGTTGTTGTTGTGAGTACGAATTGAATGTGCAAGTAGAAGACGATGTTGTAATACACACGTAATTTTGACGTTGGAATGGTGTAAGATGTTGCATTAAGTATATACAGAAAAAAAAAGAGAAAGAATCAGTAATTCTGAATGAGCAAGTATCCACCAAAGCTATATCCCAAACACAACCGACAACCTTTTCCTTCCCTTGATCACTTACGCAGCTTTGAAAGGCTATCGTTTTTTTTACCGTAACGGCGGTCTACACCTTTACGAATCTTGAGCACATGCTTTTTTTTTTAAAAAAACAATTACCATAATTCCGTTTTTTGTTAAATCTGTGGATTGTGCCGCTTTGTTTTTTTTTCTCTTCTATTCATCATGGAGACAGTAAAAAGTCATATACAAGTGTGTTTGCAGCTGTTGATTCGCCATGGTAGTTGTTGATGAGAAAAAAAAATCTTTGGTTATTGCTTCTTTCCCTCCCTGCTGCTGCTATTGAACCCCACTCTTTCCTCCCGCCTTAGCCACCCACCCTCCAATACACGAGCATGAGCACCAACCACAGTCTCACTATCGCTATCACCACCGTTTTCGAATATGTTATCCTCAATGTCGAGAGGTATTCTGCGGTTGGCATTGACAGCTACATTCAGAGATAATTCGTTATTAGTCGATCTATCAACAATTCTACTCAACAACTTATCATACCTTGAGGACGAGGGTAGGGAAGTGAAAGGGACTCCGGAGACGAAGGATGAATAGGAGAAGGGGGGTTGCCATCATCAATATCCATCGTATCATCACCATAATCGTCCATGTCCGCATTAGAATTGCCTGCTAGTAGTGGCAAAACACTGGATTCACCAGTACTATCCATGGTTACGCCATTGCCAACTGATGATCGGGACGTGTTATTGCTCAAGGATTCATAGAGAGCGATCATACTAGCCACTATATTCGAAGTCAAATATCATTATTACCATACTGATGCTTGGAAAAGTAGCTTATAAAATACCATCCTGCTGTGTCTCGCCTCTTAGTACAACGTGATCACGCTCATCGTGGTTTTGCCGTACTCGATTTATCACCAACTCATAACCCCGTAGGTTTGACCTGCTGCACGTTCGATAGTAGCAAGCAACCATACGTCTATTGCTTGCCATTATGCATCAACAAAAAAGCGAATGTAGATAAAAGATTAACCTCAAAAGAACTCACTTTTATATAAGAAAAAGCTTCCCATGAACGGGGTCGTCTTTAATAATTCAGGGGTTGTTGCTCCTACACTGTCCCTAACTTTTCAAATCTCTACTTAATCGCATTGGTCATTCACAACAATGAAAAAAAAAATAAACACATTCGATCAGCATCGTAAAATATGTGCTGCTTTGTAATACGCTGAGAATGTTTTTATATATAAAAATGCATTGTAGCATCCTTTTTTTTGGATCTAACTGGTTTCGGCATGACATCAAATTATATAAACAAGAGCGGCATTTTTCGGCACTTTGCATATGTTTATAAGAGAGCAGTATGAAAAGTACACATGATCTTTTGAAGCAAGGGCTGTAGGGGGATTATGAAGATACAGAACAGTGGTAGTGCGAGACCCGTTACTTTTTTTAGGTACATGGAATGGTGCATGTTGGTGTACGTGAAAAAAAAACCATAAAAGACTTCTCTTTGTAACGAAAGC